AGAGAGAGAGAGAGAAAGAGAGATGAAGAGCAGGAGAAAGGGAAGGAGGAGGAAGGGGAGAAGGAGGGAAAGGTTAAGATTCCTTGTACCAATTCCGATCACCGCGGTATCAAGGGGGCGGTAAAAAATTTCCGCGCAATATAACCACGATAGGTTGTAAACGAATAAAAAAGGTTTTAACGGATAGGTCCGCTTGTCGCGAGAAAATAGGAATTATAGCGATGCGCTTGGTCGCACCATTTGCCAGGATGGATATACGCTCGCTCTAATGGCGCACGTAAAAGCGGGTACTTGGGCTGTTTTTCATGTCATAATCCCGTGTAATTGCCGTTATACGGCCTTACCTAATAAAGAACAAAAAAATTCGACGCAGCTGCCGCGGGACGTGAAAAACCAGTTTGAAGCGATCATCTCTTACGCATATTGCGTGCGACGACCGACGCCCGCCGTGTTACGCGATCCCTGACATCCGCATTCTGTAATCCTTCTTCTGTAAAAGCATGCGTTTTTTTTTCTCCTTCTCGCGCCACCGTATGATCGCGAGTAAAATCACGGCGTCGCGCCCGCGCCGTTCCCGCGACTTTGGGATATAGTTGAAAATTTATGTGAGAGCGACATATGGGTAAGATTACCATTATTCCGCATCCACATTGAATTCTACGAGCGAACGACCGCCCGTGTCGGAATTTCAGAATTAATGCGACATAGCTTAGTTGAGTCGACGGCACCGACATCGCGTATGAATTACGAGTGCGCGCACCAAAAAAAAGGGCACGCGCGCGTTTCGCGGCTGCTTGCGTTTGCTGTTGTTAGCTAGTTCCTAATTTCGAAAAAAGTTAGATATAAATTAAATTCATATTTTTAATTCATATTTTGAAATCCAGTGGATCATCACTCTTGGTTAACGTTGGGGGTTTGATGGCGTTTTAATTTGTTTCTTACGAAGCGATGAAAAAAACATGGAAATTCTATACGCAACTGCCATGGGAGTAATAAAGAGCGAGATGAAAGAGAAGTGGTGACGAAGACGCTGCCGTAAAAGTCATAATATTGGCACTGTAGTTACCTAACGGTGTATGCGAACTCGACAAAAGCCCCCGAACGGCGAAATCGCGTTGCGTTCCAAAGAGCCATTCGGCACAGGTGTTTATGTATTATCTGAGCGACAAGTAACGGCGTGAAAACAATTGGTTACGTGACTTGCAATCCGTCGAAAGGGACCGATGGAGTACGAGGAAGTTCGTTTTATTACATTCCACGTATCGAATATCCTGTTCCTTTCTGGAAATGTATTTGCACACCGTGCCGAAAATTAGAAGCAACGATCGCGACATCTTCATTTACTTATCATCACTTCTGATCGTGAGAATCTCGAATCTATAGAAAATAAAGATATTAATCTTCCGTATACACGTTCAATCAAACGGAATCGTAGCTTATATCGGTCATTTAAATTTATATTATATTTCTTGTAATGTTGTAATAAATTTTCAACTCGGTAAAAGAATTCGACTGAACTGAATCCAATTAGTTGGAAGCATTAATTTATGTCTCAGCGTTAAATTGATCTCTCGCATTTTATGAAATTATAAAGCGCTTTTATTAGCTCTCGCAACTGGATGTAATTCGACGTTCGTTAGTAATCTTCTTTCGTTCCCACAAACCCTTGAATCACTCATCATCATTTCCATTTTTTTTTTTTCGTTTTCATTGCAGATACTGCTGTCGCACTTTGACGCATTCAAGTTCCCGAGCTCGGAGGTGGTGCAGTTCCGCGCCCTGGTCACCCCGTGCATGCCGACCTGCGAGCCCGTGCAGTGCGATCAAGAGGAGACGACCGGCGAGCTGCGCTCGGTGATCTCCTTCGGCAGACGTCGTCGCCGTCGTCGCTCGACCGCCGTCGGTGGCACTCAGAGTCGCGAGGACCTCCTCCTGGTACAGTCCATCCAGATCACGGATAAATTCGGCTTCGAGCGTGACGGCAAGCTGCCGAACGCCACATCCGCGACGAGGGACACCGTGTTCGTCGAGAGCGAGGACATGTCGTCGACGATGGGGATGTGCATTAACCTGGGCGAGGCCATCATCGCCGGCACCGTCTTCCTCGTCGCCCAGATCGTCGTCATCGCGGCATGGACCTTCACCTGGCAGCGACGCCGGCAGATGCTCAAGCACCAGGAGGCGCTCTCGGTCTCCGTGTCCGTGCCCGGGATGCATTCCGTGCCCGGCCGCACCGACAGCCTCTGTAAGTTGTACGACGGCGGTTACTCCGCGCGTCGTTTCTGAACGACCCCCCCCCCCTCCCCGATATCCATCCCCGGGGTAAATATCGTCAATCTCGTCTTCCTGCGAACCACTATTAACAAAACTCTGGCTGACTTCACATGGACGTGAATTCTCAAAAATTCGGCGCGTGCCGCAAAAGAGGAATTCTCGCGCGCGTGTCATGGCTCCCGCAAAGCGATCGCAAAGTAAAAATAACATTTTGACTTTGGCTCTCTCTTTGAAATCTTTCTATTCGGAATTCGGATGGACGCTTCGTACTATATATATCAAACTTCTCTACGAGTGTACCGCATCGCGAGGTTGTAGCCAATATACGTAGCTTTTAGTGGAGTATACCCTTTACCACCCATGCTTACCTTGCAGTTGGGGTGGAAGCTTTGCAGAGAGGCGTTCTACTAATTCCAATTAAATTCGGCCAGATGGGCAGATCGCGGAGTTTTATTGAACGCGTCGGGATAGAAGGACCTTCGGTCCTCCTGCGATCGGGAGTGAAAGAAAATGATCGCTGCCCATCTCCACGAATGTCTTTGTATCCGCATTACCATATTAGATACTACTCACTTCTTTCTCTACCATATTAGATACTACTCACTTCTTTCTCCTCCCAAACTTCATTTCCTCGCAGCTGGCAACGTAAGGAAACCGATCGATCTCGCCGCTTAATCCAAATTGCACTCGTGTTATCGATTAAAGGCGTAATTATACACTCGCGTATGCACACGTGCTAATAATGCCGGTGGAGTACTGAACGAAATAATTAGGCATAATTGCGCTTGATTACCTGCTACATCTGTCGCTTATTGAAAACACAAATATCAGTGTCCTCCAATCGGCATTTCTGATCAAGGCCGGCGCAACGAATCAGACGTATATCGTTAATTCCGTCTGTCTCTCGGGTGGTCGGTTATTTCATGGAAGAAGATCGCAATTACGATCCATAACCTTTAATTAGTGTAATGTTCAATGTCCAGGTGACCTTCGTGCATATGACGTTCATCAAAAACCGATGTCTCTCTAAAGAGAGAGAGAGAGAGAGAGAGAGAGAGAGAGAGGAGGGAGGGGGG